AAGAGTCAAAAGAGAACCTACAGATTGGGAAAAAAATATTTGGCGATGATATATCTGACAAGGAACTTAGCTCTAGAATTTATGGAAAACTCCAACACCTCAAAAACAAAAAGACAAATAATCCAATTAAAAAATGGGCAGAAGACATGAATAGACACTTCACTAAAGAGGATATTCAGGTGGCCAGCAAACATATGAAGAAATGCACAATCATTAGCCATTGTTGTTGTTGTTACGTGCCCTTGAGTCAGATCAACTCATAGCGACCCCTTCCTGGATTTCGGAGGCAGTTATCACTACGGAAGTAGATTGCCCAACCTTCCTTCCCAGGAGTGGCCCTGAACCCAGGAAGCCACTTAAGAAAAAGAAGGGTCTTTTCTTTCTTGTAACTACTTTCTCAGGACTTGCCCAGGCACTTCTACCCCGCCCCCCCCACTCACTCATTGTGCCACCACCCAAAAAAACCCTCACTGCCATAGGGTCATTTTAGGACTCATAGTGACCCCTCCTTGGGTTTCCCAGGTGGTTTCTCTACGGAAGTAGATTGCCCAGTCTTCTTTGTAAAGAAGATTGGTTGATCTGCTTCCCTACAGATAATGTTTCAGAAACCAAGGAAAGGTTGCTAAAACCCTTCCCCTCCAGACCCCATGCACCACACCCACAAGGTTCTAAGCATCTCTCCACCAGCTAGGACCTTATCTCCCTGCCTAAGGACACCCTCCACCAAAGAGCACAGTCCTTCTCTGATACACGTGAGTCTAAGTCCACTGAAGGCAACTGGTTTTACTGGTTGTGTGGAAAAGCCTGTGTGTGAGGACTGGAAGTCTGTGGATGGCGGGAACAGTCTTCGGGGCTGCACCAGGCCCAGTCCAGGGCTGCCGCTGCTTCCCACGCCTCAGGAGGGGGTGGGGGAGCCGGAGGGGGTGGGAGTGTGTGTGGGGGATTAGGGAGTGGAAGGTAGGCATGGGTGGGGGATGAGGAGAAGTGACTGGAGAAATGGGTGATGGGAGGGCGTGGGGTGGGGAGAGTAGGTTGGGGTGAAAGGTGAGGTGTGGGGGTGAGGGGGTCGGAGATAGGTGGAGTGGGGGGATAGATTGGGTGGGAGGCACATGGGGTAGGAGGGACACTGAAGGGGGGGGACCGAAGGGGCAGGGGTTTGAGCTTTGGCAATCCCGCCGCGCCCACCTCTCCCTCTCTCGGCTCCGGTCCCCTCCCATTTAATTTCACCGCCAGCACCTTTCCCGCCCGGCTTCTAGCTCAGGACAGGAAAGGGCGCAGCATCAGCTGACGCGATGCAATAAGCCCGCTAAGCGGACTTAAGAGTCGAGAGGAGACACCCTCTCCCCGGCCGGGCTCCAGAACTCACCGGGCCGAGCCGTCCACGTGCACACCAGCAGCGGCAGCAGGAGCAGGAGGACAAGGGGCATCAGGGCTCCCGGAGGCAGCGCCGTGAACCCTTTCAGCTCCCCAGAGTCGGGACCGCCTTTTCCGGGGAGTGAAAATCCGCGTGACACCAGGCAACTTTTCAGCAGCATTCCGCAGGCCGGCTTTCAGGTCCAGAAGTCGGAAGCTCTGGTCCGCCCGTGTCAATCGATCTCTCCGGGTGTTTCTAGGCCTGGCTTACAGCTGTGAAAGCCAGGGATCAGAGTGAGGCGGCCTGATAGGCGTTCTGCCGTCTGTAGCTATGCGCAGTGTTTGCTTTACAGACTCTTTTCTTCCTTGCGCAGTGTTTGCTTTACAGACTCTTTTCTTCCTTACTGTAATACAAGATTTCCAGGCCGG